TAAGTGAGTGGCTCTTTATAGCCCAATGGCTACCACCGGACGTGCGCTAAGTTAGTCACAGGGGAACCCCAAGTTCTTCTCCGACTCTATAAAATAAACTTGGATGGCTTGCTTGCTTGTTTAGCTTGCCCCCTCTTTGAATGTGTACAATTCGAGCAAGCAAATGGCTAGCAGGGCCGAGGAACCACAATGAACGGGACGACAGAAGTTCCACAAGAATATGACCAGAGAGATATGTTCTTCTTCGTGCATGCAGGTCTGGTTCTTGAGAAAACAGATATCTATTAGCGAGTTTCGCCGTACAATATATAAACCCGGGACTGGCTGAAATGAATGAATTCTCATGGTTTCCGCCGGCTAATAGGGCGAGCAGCGTAATGGGGCGGACGACGTGAGTGAGAGCCCAGACCATAGCGGCTTTAGAGACTTCTCTCTCGGCGACGAAAACGTTCTCCGGGAGGCTTTCCTTTCTGCTTTACTGTGATTTACCCATAAAATCAGCGGCAAGGATTATGGAAGAGGCCAAACCAACCCAGGTACACCACAAGTAGATACGGTTGGAGTAGCAGATCCTATAGAAAACAAAGACAAAGCCCGAGGCAGATCCAGACGCGTACCTAGGCGCAGCATCCCTTCGAGTTGCTTGCCACCCTTTTATCCTTTCTCCTCCTCCGGTCGCCTCGTTACCTTTTTTGCTTTCTCACATTGACTTCTTTCCGCTTTTTACTTCTTTTCCTTGATTCAGCTGTATTAGTAGCTGATGATTCCTTTTTTCCAAGTGTGTCCGATTGGTATCACTCGCATAAGACTTTTCCTTTATTTGTAGCGGCCATGTGGCATAGTCCATCTTTTCCTTCTATTTTTCCCTCAAAATAGAATATATACTTGCCTTTGTACTGATTTGAATATGTAGGAAGGCTTAGTGGAAGGGCTACACCCTCTTCAGAGGTGCCCGAGGGGCACGGTCTCTGTCTTTGACTTGGCCTTCGGCCTTGAGAACACAATGATTTCGGACTTTCTCTTTTTCGAGCCTTACTAGGCGCGTATTGCTTTCTTGTCTTTTTTAGCTTGGGTCTATATAGACGATCTGACTCTTTGTCAAGTGAGAGTAAGAATTCTCCTATTGTGATAGCGGTTAGTGGAACGTGCAAGATAGGCCAGCTAGGCGAGCAGGGTCAAGAAAGAAAAAAAGTCGTAGGCAGAGATGACTAAGTGAAGAAGGCCCTACCCCTTATTCATTCAAAAAGGGAGTAGCGGAGAGAGACGTTCCCGAAAGGCACCTATCCATGGAAGACAGATGATGAATGGGGAGCCGACTAGAAGACAGATAAAGGAGCAGGCTGGAGTGGGGCTTTAGGAAGAGGGGGCCGGAATCAGTCAATGGAAAATTGCTTAGCGATTCTCAGAAGCACAAGGAAACAGAAGAAAGAAGGCCCGCCAGAAAGAGGGGAGACCCCGGAACGATGTATGAAAGAGACTCTTGAAAGCTATCGAAGTGGACAATAGAGTGTTGCTTCTTATGAAAAAAGCCCCCAATGCTGTGTGAAAGAGTGGCGGGGAATGACTGGGCTCAGGAGTAAAGTCAACATAGTGTGGAAAAGTGGGGTCGACCTTCTAGTGCCTTGTAGGGAAAGAGAGGTTCACTAGGCAGATAGAGAAGGAAGGGCCAATAGAGAAGAATGTTGAAATAAGAGTTGGCATTTAGTAGCGCCGGCGCCTCATCCAAAATGAGACTTGGAAAGCGAGATCGGGCCTAACTGGGAGGCAGGAAGAAGACTACACGGTGGTTTCGGGACGGAATCTCTTTGACTTTTTGGTGCCATAGCTTCGACTCCACCCCAGAAAATAGTAATAGGAGGGAGCCGCTACTCACCGGGAGATCGTGATGAGGCAAAAGGGGCTTTATTAAAGTCCTCTGGGTCGTCCACTAAGTGAGTGAAAGAGGTCTCATTGGGAGAATTGGGAAGAGAGAAGGCCAGCCTCCCACTATGTGAAAGAAGAGCTTTTCTCTCATATTCACTTCTATAGAATATATATAATAGGTAGTTCGCTTAGCCGCAGCTGAAGCCATAGATCTTGCCCGGATGCTCCCAAGGTTCATCGGGACATTTTTTTCAACAACTGAACTAGCATCACCGTTCTTAAGCCTAGACTTGTTTTGGGGTTCCAAACCTCTCCTATTGCCTTTACCCAGCGGCAAGACGCTTAGTTTTGTCGGAAAGGGAATGCTTATTCCCCTCTACTGTGCGGGTGCTAAGACTAGGCGAAGAATTAAATGAATCAGTTCGCTTGACCAACCCGAGCCTTCGAGCCTATAGTTCTTCTGATTTGGCTAACATCCTTCGATGACAAGCCGACCGAAGGTAGACGCACCGGGAGCCTACTTCTATCTCATCAGAAGCAGGCGCATAGGCTATAGAATATAGAATCCTACCTTCTACTCTACCAGCTACTCTAATTTTGAGTTGGTCATAGGTTGACAGTTTTCGGGGTCACTTTTCGGGTCAGAACTATTGGAAGATGAAAGATAACTTATTTAGACGAATAGTGTGCCGATGCCATTACCCCCAAAAATCCTACATTAGCAGTGCGGGTTTAAATATACAGAAACCAAGTCAAGAAGACCGAGGAGGCCTTGGGGTAATAGAACAAGGGAGGAAGAAAGGAAGGAGCTTCGGCTCCAGCTCCGCAAAGGTAGACTTTTTCCAGGTTAGCTAGAGAGAGCGATATTCATTTTTATAGCTTGTTTACCGGAGGCCTCATTTTCAGGTTTGATAGAATAAAGAAGTAGAGAAGATCTCTCTTCTTAAAGTATACAACACTTCCCGCAAGGTTCACACCGCGGAAAAGGTGAAACGTCGTCTCTGTCAAATAAGCTATGATACTCTGGTAATACCTGTTGCTGATCCTCATCTTGTACTTGTGAACAGCAGCAGAGGCCGCATATGATAGGTTATTCCAGAATCAATGTGAATATCGCCGAATAGGAGACTTCGTTGCACAATCGTGAGTCCCTTGAATATAGAGAGAAGTTTGACTTGTAAAAAAAGACGTGAGTGTCCCTAAAACTATGCCCTTGTTCTAATAGTACAAGCTCGCTATAAATCCAGTTTTTTGTATATAGATAGAGAGCCCCTAGCCCGAGAGGACTAGTTCTCTCCAGTGTCTTTGACAACTATATACGAAAGAGTACGATAACAGGCCTTTCAGTGCCATCGAAAGAGCCTAACGCCTATATCCTACCAACCTCAATCTGCACGTCCGAAAGGGACCCTCTAATTCTATCATTCAGAAGCCTCAGGACCGTATCCATGAGGGTACAAAGGATTTTTTGAGGCTAGCAACCGATAGCAACTGTAGCATTAGGATCGACATTGGAAGATTTTCGTCAAGGTCATACTTAAACCGTATGATCCTTATAACTCATGATAGTTTGACTAAGGAAGCATGCATTGGAGCTTACTTGTTCTCAAAACAGGTGGTCAGGCTAGTACGGAAGTCGGTATTTTGATTCACATCACTGTATCTAAAACAGTGTTCTTCATCCCGCTTACGGAGGTATTCCGAAGCCACCCGAATTGTTGCCTGTACCAGTCTCCCTCAATCGATCAGGGTATCCTCGTATCATCCCTCTCATCGCCGGATGATGATGCGGAAGGATGACCGGGCGGACGTTTTAGTTAAGCTCTATCTGTCTCTCGGGACTCGATCGAGTCATTCTTGTGTGTACTTGTCATTCGTAATGGTTTTAGTAACTCTTTCTTGCTTTCGTCACTTGTCATTCAGGTACTAGTATCTGTAAATCAACTCCACTCTTTCTTGTACCTGGCACTAGTAAAATTGTATCTCGGTTCATGGCATGTTAAAACGACTCTATCGGCTTATAGTCATTCCTGGCACTCAGCGCATGTCTTTGATTAGCACCAGTTCCGTCACTCGTATCTGGTTGAACCAGTACTTCCTTTCTGCCGTTCCTAGGGACCACCCACTCCCGTTCCTTGGTTGTTGGTGTATTGGCTCTTTGGTTTGGTTCCCGGTCAAAGCCGTGAAAGCAAGATAGGGTGAACACATCTGTATCGTAATATGGGTATGAGTATAGTATATGTACAAACAGGTAAGTGAACTACTCCTTTGACTGGTCTGCTCGCCGTTTGGTTTGAGGGCCTACATCGACTAGGCTTCCCGCTGACTGAGGGAAGCGATCTGTCTTAAACAAGAAGATTTTCCGGGTGAACAATGAGATGGCATGTGAATGAGTGATATGGGGAGAAGGAATCAATTCTTGTACGTATGATATGGGGTCGGTACGATACACATATGGTGAACAGTCAAAGCGAGGGATGGGGTCTAGTTAAATACGATATGGGGAGATATGGGATACAGCTAATGTCGATAAGGAAGGGAGGGAAGGAGCTCTTGCCTTCAACTCAGAGCAGAACGTTCCTTCCGGAACGCAAGGCCTATTTGCTTTCGTAGCAGCCAAGGATGAGTTCGATCCATTAGGTTCTTCTATTTGTTCAGAAAAGAAACGAGAGACAAGAAAACATCTTTGATTACGATTAAAAGGAACAATCTAAAATAGACCAAGATCTATCTAATTTCGGGTCATTTCTTGGTGAACATGATCTGCCATAATCTCTTCGATCCCTTCATTTATGTGCCAGAATAAAGAGAGATTTGGTAGGAAAGTGGAAGATACTTTTTTTTATATGATAATCAAAGGGAGTGGGAAAGCTGCAGTAATTCTTTGGAAAAGCCCGCTTCTCTTTGTCTTCGAGCTTGAATTCTTCAATCCACTGATTCGTTACTTCATATACCTCCCCACCAATAGATAGAGACAAATGGGAATAACCGAACCACGTCTACAAAATGCCAGTACCATGCAGCTGCTTCAAAGCCAACGTGATGCTCCTTGGTCAGATGACCAAGATATTGGCGAATACCACATATGATCGAGAAAAGAGTACCTATAATCCGATGAAAACCATGAAAGCCAGTTGCTAAGAAAAAGGTAGAACCATAAATACTATCCGAAATTGTGGGGGGGGGGGCGCTTGATAATATTCCATTCCTTGAAAGGCGGTGAATACTAGAGCCAGTGAAACGGTAGCTACTAAAGCGTAAACTGCTCGTTTTTCCTTCCCCACGAGTATAGCATGATGAGCCCAAGTTACGGCAGCTCCGGATGAAAGGGGAATAAGAGTATTAAGAAAAGGGATTTCCCGAGGATCTAAAACCGCAATCCCTTTTGGGGGCCAAATACCTCCGATCTCTACCGTAGGTGCCAAAGAAGAATGAGAAGAAGCCCGAAAAAGAGCAAAAAGGAACATAACCTACGAAACGATAAACAGAATAAACCCATATCGATGTCCTAATTGTACGACTTTGGTATGATGTCCTTCCAACGTGGATTCATGTAGAACATCGCGCCACCATACGAACATGGTATATAGGATAAAGATTAGGCCCAAACTGAGAAGTGTTGCACCCCCTTGAAATGAGTGCATGTACATCACACCTCCTACGGTGGTTGCCAAAGCTCCGAGTGAACCCGAAATAGGCCATGGAATTGGATCTACCAAATGATAAGAGTGCCTCTGAGATTCAATCAAAAACAACTTTGCCCCGGTTGCATGTAAACCCCCCCTTCACCACCGCCCCCTAAAGTGGTAAAGAAGGCTCTTTGGGGTCTCTCTTTCTATCTGACAGGACAAACAAATAGGAAGGGATGGTTCTTTCATTGCAAGAAGTCTAACTAGAAAAGGATCTCCCTATTACTTTGAGAAGAGAATTGTTGGTTTGACCGACGAACTACATGGGAAAATGGATCTTCTTTCTTTTCAGAAGACATTTTTTGAAAGTAACAATTCCATTCAGTTCGGTTTCGGAAAACATTCCGTCGGGGCCTAACATCAAAGGTGCAGGTTGATCTCTATGGTTGAGGCTGCAATTCATTTTTACACGTGGAAAGGGCTTACTCTACTAGAGGTTCGGCTTGGTCTCGCTCCCTTCCCGTACTATTCCTCCCCATTAAAAAAAGAGCGATTGAGAATGTCGAGAACCTTTCTGAACGTCTGTCTTCGCGGGGCGATTTGAAAAGGAGTATATCTTTCTTGTAGTGCCTTCCATTCCACTATTCTGATCAAGAAAGAATCTCTTATGAACGACCAAGTCATAATGAGATTAAAAACCGATGCTTCCTTGGCCGTGTGGAACATGGATTAGCATTATGTCATTCCTACAAGTGATCCCCCATCCAGGATTGGAAGAAGTGCTATATGAGGACTTCGAGATCAAATAGAAGATGTTCCTTTCCATTCCTCGTGAGCCACTGATTTCTACGAAACAAGAGATCAAAGTGATCTTCCTCCTTTTTCCCAATAAGTCGACGGCTTTACACCATTGGGAGACTTCGAATAAACTGGAGTACATATAGGATAGACCGGTGCTAAAACCTTTTCTCAAGATATCTTCCAAACTGTTGGGCTCCTTGCTCTGGATGTTGTTCGTACGGTGTGAAAGCAGTTGGTTACGTAGTTTTAGAATTCTGCTGATCCCAAGTAGTCCATCCCCATCATTGCATATGGCAATATAGAAAGTAAAGAGGAAAAGGCATGACCAGAAGAATTGTGTGAAATAAGTGAATTGATCTAGTTGAGGCATGATTGATTCAGTGATGTGACTTCTCCTGCTCCAGTAAATCAGTCTGGAGACTTGCTAATTCAATTCAATTGCCTTGGTTTTTCCAAGAAATACATGGGAAAAATAGGGAGAAAGAAATGGGATTGTGTCAACAGGCCCCTATTCTGACAAAAAACAGCCACTTTTCTTTTTTGTTTAGCCTGTTCCTATCAGATAAATTCTTACGAGAAGAGGAAAAAAGTCCTTCGTCATAGGTCTCCTCACTTATGTTTATGCTTATGATAATATATGTCGATCCCTAATCTCACAAATAGATTTCGACCCAATCTCCCATTTGTGAAGCAAATCATGAGTGTATTCCGCCTACATTTGTTAGGTTCTTTGATTCTCTAAGTTTGTTTTGTTTAGATTGCATTGCACGAGAGCGCCCTTTTTTACTTTATATAAAAAATATAGATTTACAATAAATAATAGGTAACCTTCATCAATAAACCTTGCATAAGAGATAGATCCTGCTGACTTGAACTGAGCACGAATTTCATTTGTATTTGAGCGTAAAAGCAGCATATTGCTTTGAAGGTTTCCAACCTACTGGTTCAGCCAAGAACCAGAAACCGAATGAAGGAAGCGAAGATCAGAGTCAAAATATGCCGTGGAGAAGAGCTTACTTATGAGCGGAAGACGAAGTCGCAGGGGCTGGATTGAATCCTTCTCAGGAAGAGTTGATGCTTGCTGAGTCTTTTTGTCTAGCAGCTATGGAAAAGCCTATAGTATAGGGCTGGAATCGCAAGAAAACCCAGTCTCCAACTGAAAATTCCCTCTCACTTCTATGTTGATCCTCATATTGCTTCATTCTAACTTGTGCCCTTGACTGTCCTTTGAAATCCGTATGACAGTCGAGTGCTCCCTGAGTTGACTCTCTGCCGAGGCAACATTGGAACCTTCAGGCTGGGGCATAGGTATAAGTGTTGGAGCATAGCGATAGAGGGCTTCAATTAAAATGGGGTCATTTTCATTGTGGTATGATAAGTAGTGTCGTACCACCACTCTGCTAAGGATAACCACTTATATACCACTTTTGTGGCACGAGTGGCCTTTTGTGCTACTCATTAATCATTAATCTGGGGTGAAATAACAGAATGATGTTAGAGCCCCCTTCGATAAGACGTCCAGCTATTTTGCATTCCTCGGAACAAATTATCAAGCCAGTACTACTACCTTCCTTCGTGCGCCTTCTTTGATTTCTGTGGCTTTACTGGTACGAGCCGCGATCCCAAGTCTTGTTCGCATGCTTCCGGAACTTGTTCGTCAACACCAGGTCAGCATGTGGCTCTTTCATCAGACATGGCTATGCTCATAATATTGCAATGTAATGGGCGATATCTCCTACGCTGTCTCTGTGGATTCCCACCGAATTCCAAGTAGTCTTATCTTTCTATGCGGCTTTCTTTATAGGGATCATGCTGGCACGGTACTCCGTTTCCAGCAAGTTCGTGAAGGTCCATCAATTTGAAAGGGGATGTTGTACGTATCGATGTTTTTGAAAGTACTACTTAGGGTCCTCAGTACGACTTTGTTTGGCCTGTGTTCCAAATTCAATGCTCAGGCAGCTCAAATGCCTTATTCTTCAACAGGAGCTAGTCTAGTACTTCGAGGCAGTAACTCAAAGTGGTACCAGGTCAGTCCCTAACTATCTGCTTCCACTAAATACGCGGTAACGCTAACTCATGTGCTGAACACAGGGTCAGTCACGGACCTCTTAGGTTTTTTTAGAAAGAACAAAAAAATTATCGTTAAGGTCCCATAGATAGAACCTGATACGAAGTACTGAACATAAGACCTATGTAAGGGAGTCAGTCCTACTCATAAAGGTGAAGGACCAAGCACTAGATCGTTGAAAACAAAAAGAAAGACTGACTTTTAGATAACTTATTTAGGAAGGAGCCATCGTAACTGCTCGCCATCGGAATACGCTTTCAAGGCAGCTGCCAAGTCAGCTAGTAAGTAAGCAGGTAATAGTCAGCCAGCAAGCTGGGCTGTTCTTGCCAGTTCGAGTATGAGACATCGGTGTAGTAGTACTATAACGATTTTGACACATACTAATGACTCCTTTTTGTAAAGCAACTTCTTGTGCTTTTATTCCAGCCAACGAAGCTCCGTCTAATCTAATAGGGGCTCGGTTCGGTTCACCTATCATACCTACTAAGTCGAAGCCAGGCGAACTCGGACCAGTGCAACAAAGTTTAGACTCTCGCGATTGGACTCTATAACAGAAGAGGTTGTGCAAAAAGGAAAGGGAAAAGAAGCTTTGCAAAAGCTAAGGCCGAAGCTCTTTGGGCGATATTATAGCATAGCATATTTCCTCATGATTAGGGTGATGTGGTTGTTCCATCGGTTTTCTTTATGGAGGGATCTCTTGTTCAAGATATTCTTGAAAGGCGGATTGACAAGTGCGATGAGGAGATGGAGATTCCAGAAAAGTCTACGAATAAGTAAGTGAAGGTTTGGCTTACGTGCTCAGCTCAAGCAAGAAGAAGCTAGAAAGTCAAGCCTATTGAATGGTGGCAGAGGGAGTGGAGGTCTAAAAGTCAGAAGAGAACACTGTGCAAAGGGTACGCGACCACAACACACTTTTGTCCCTTTTTTTCTTTCTTTTTCTTCGCACTAGGAGTAGCTATAACTTAGCAATTCGATTGTCAGTTTGCTCTCCGGGCCTTACTTCTTGATGACTGATCTACATTCTCAGCTGATGACATTGAATGATTTGAGGACGCTGGGCGGCCAAGCTTGCTTGCGCTTGGGCTGTTTCGCCATGGCTTGGGGTATAACAGTTCAGAGAGATCGACGAGCACCTCACACTGCCATGCCAACCGTAGCTTTTGAATTTTTGGGGTGATCTTTGACCAGCCGATGCAGAGGGAATGGGATATTGAATGAAAGTCAATCGAAGAGACAAGTGACTTCCCGGCTAAGGAAATCTGCAAACACTCTAAACGATTCAAATACAGATCAAAGTCTATCACGCCCTCATAGGAATCGAGGAAAGATGGATTTTAGCAGCTGGGTAGTTCACCACTGTTCGAGCTTCATAGGTAATAGCAAATCCTAGATCACCCTTTTGAACTAAACTCAGGGTATTGATAGCAAGAAGATTCGCAGTTAAACTATCCAGTTCAGGAAGTTCTGTTGCGGGATAGGCTAATCCGAACAAAAAGCATCCTAATAAAGGAAAAAAATGGTATTTAGGACATCAATCTAGAGTGCTAGGGCATAAAAGCTTTGATTGAATGAACGCCACCTTGGTTGTATTGTTTTCAAACAAATCCAATGTTGGGCCAAGCGTTGCCAGCCGGTAATAGCCGAAGGCAAAAAAAAAGGGGGAGATAGAGAAGAGGAGATTCAGAAGAGTCACTCCACTCCATGGATAATGTACACAGATTCTTCATTTATTTGTAATTCCTTTCGGGTCGGAAACATGGGCTGCTGGTGGGGCTGTGCCCCTTCTCCCTCTTCTTCCGCTTTACAACCGGAATAAGGAACCTTAGAATTCACCCCGATTCAGAAATGGGATTTGAGAGGCTAGCAAATCGGAATTGTGTGGAATGTCCTACTCCTGCCCGAGCTTTCCGATCAACCAATCCCCTATTTCATTTCAGGGACATCAGTGTTAGGTAGGCCCAGGGATCACTGATTAGTCGAATGAGCCCATCCCTCTGGCCTATCATTTGTTGGTCGATCCGGCTGGCGGCTCCTGCGTCTGGGGCCCCTTTATACTAGTTTGCTGCTAGGAGTCCCCTAGTCGAATCCATAATCCATAGAAGTCCCAATAGAAGTTTACTAACATGGCTCTTCCATCGGCGATCTACTGCTCCCTCTTAGTTGCATATGCCCATGCTTTGATTCGAAAGCCCTAGCCAGTGATGAATCCCCAGGAAGAGAGGACTATTGAATTCCTCATCCCTTCAGTCCAGTTTGAACTCGTCCCAACAACGAACACCTTCCTACTGCAAGGCTTTGCTCTGCCCTTCCACTAGAATCCACTCCGGGTCGGAGGAGCACCTAGTCCAACTTCTTGAGCAGCCGAGATATTGAAGAACGAACATTTGCTTGAATTCCTTGCCTCACCCTGAGATGAGAGGGAAGGTCGATTTGACTCGAATCCTGGACCTGATCTTTAATCCAATACCGGTTAATGATGCGATGGGAGAAGTTTTTCTTTTGTCATTTTTCATCAATGTTGGCCCAGTCGAGGTTCGTCCATGCCCAATCCCAATGGACAAACCTTAGCCCCTAGCTCTATAATCCACCCTACCCAGTCCCTGAAAGCCCTCCCGGGGGCCTAGCCCTCTTTCTTCGAGTCTTAAGCGGCTTTCATCGTTGACGAACACCTGCGCTAATAAGACAAAGAGGGAGTCTAAGGGGAGAATGGCAACCATTGGTGGACCTTCCCTTGAACGAGTCACGGAGCTCTCAACGGAGTGGTTTAGGTTCTGGAATTCCATCTCTAGTTGGGGCTTTCGGTTCGAAGGTTATAAAATGTGGTGCGGGTTCATCTCTCTCGACCAGTTCAAGTTCAAGGGAGGGTGATCGAGGGGACCCAGACTTGAGATCTCTTCTCTATGGCGGGAGGTCTCTTTTGTATCAAGAGTGTTTTGGGGAGGCTAGGGAAGACGGATTGGATCGAGAGGCGATGCTTATACCTCTTCTTTCTCGATAGGATTCCCATCATTTGAAGTCTCCGGCGAAGGAGATCAGGGCGAGGGACCGAACATGTTCTATCCTCAACCTCCATCCGTCATTAGTAATCTCAATTCGCTTTTCCTATTCACTAGTACAATGCGCGCTACAACTAGCAGCCCCTTACTAGTAAGGGAAAAGGCTAGCGCCCAAGGGCTGATGAAAAGCCAGCAACTTGTTAGGACTAGGTTTTGGCTTGCCCCTTTCTTCTTATTAGGAAGATAGGTTTGGAACCCTATACAAGGGGCTGCTTGCTGCACACCCCTATCTCTAAAGGGGCGCAC